AATTAACATTGCAATCTCAGCCCCCAAGGTGACGGTGTTAGAAAGTGAGAAGGACACAAGGGAAGAGCCCTCGTGAATGAGGTCAGTGCCCTGATGAAAGAGGACCCAGAGAGCCGCTGTGTCCCCCCAACCCAGTTAGAAGGCTCTCACCAGCACCTTGACCTTCAACCTCCCAGCCTCCTAAACTGTGGCAAACTTGTTTTGTGCAAGTCACCCAGACTGAAGGACTTTGTCTTAGCAGCCCGAGTGGACAAAATAAATCCGTAAATTTTTTGTTGTTTGTTTGTTTGTTTGGTACCAGTGTTTGAGCTCAACCACTGAGCCACATCCCCAGATTTTTTTTTTTAATTTTTACTTAGAAACAGAGTCTCACTAAGTTGCTTAGGGCCTTGCTAAATTGCTGAGGCTGGCTTTGAACTTGTGACCCTCCTGCTTCAGCCTCCCAAGCCTCTGGGACTACAGGTATGCAACCACTGCGCCCGGCCAAATCCTTCGATATTTGATGAATCTTATTCATGAAGTATCAATTTGAATATTTTTCAAAACACATATCAAAAATCCAGAAATCTCTGTCTCCTCCAGAAAGACTTTTTTCCTCTAGACCAAGGTCTTTTCCTCCTCACCCACACATCCAGGGCGCTGTGTCTGACCCCACCCGACTTCCCCACAGCATCCAATCTTGCTCAAGTTAAAACCTGGGCCTCATCCTAGTAAATGTTCCACTCCTGGTGGCTCTTTAGTGCAGGAACTGGATTTCCTTTATCTCTCCAAATTGCATAGGACTCGCCACAAAATAGTGTTGGTTATTTGACTCCTTCTGAAAGTAGGAAGAATTTTAGCTGAGAAATGCTAATATTTTAAGGATTTTGAACATGTTACTATGCAGCTCAGGCACAATACATAAATGGAGCACTGTTTTCTGATCAGGAACATTAAAAATACAGGGAATTGGGGTCCCTACGGTACAATATTGACAACCTTCAGCCACCAACTAGTGATGTAGCTTAAGTTGACTTAGCATCCTTTGGGAAAAGCGAGTCAAAAATGACCTCGAGATTGTATCTTTGCATATCATATTTATTTATCTAGGAAAATAAGAAGGGCTGGAAATTTCAGTTCCAATTGAGCTGAGAAAGGATGCCCAGGACATTCCCTTCAAAGGCAAATGGGGCTTCTACTTTGATTAGCTGCTTGTGTGGCCTTTGATTCCAAAGATATTAGAAATGTAGCCTCTTAAAGATGTGCAAGTCAAGCATGCAGAGAAATTTTATTTGTTGGAGAGCAGGAGCAAATATTTGAGTATAACAAATCAGAGAAGGCAAACATCCTTGGAATTTTGGATTTTGCAAGGCTCCTTGCCTTAATAATCCAACCACTAACTTGTGACTATTCTTGCCTACAGAGCATGGAAAATTAACCCAAATTCTAGATAATTCACACTTGCTATTGTAGGCTGGGTTGGCATATAAAAGAAGGAAAAAAACAGTTGTAGGAAAAGGAGAACAAAGTTCTGAGATCTGATACTGGAGAATCATCTCTTTTATCTGGTAGGTACTCTCAAAGGCTGGACTTACTGTTTGGACAGATTGAAAATACAGTCATTCTTACCATTGAAAAATGGCTCAAACCAGAGCCTCTCAACTGCTTTAATCCAAGACCATACTGCTGCTCGAAATGTGGGTTTCAGGATCAACCACCTTCTTTAGATTTAATCAGTATCTGCCTTAATGGTGGCACTTGCTCACACCTGGTTCCTAAAAGCAGGTTTGCTTTGACACAACGTGCCACCCTCCCTGGCCAGCAGGGGTTTCCTGTTCATAGTTCGGTTGCTTTGCAGGAAGTGACTGTCTAGTCTGCTAGGCCTGTCCCCTTTAAGAACTGCATTACCCCCACAGGAAATAGCCCCTGGTGGGCATGTTCCTAATATATGACCCAGCCCCTTAGAGACACCTGATCAGAGCCAGTGAACACCTGACTCAACATGCACCAGATTCTCTCTTGAAAGATTCGGGTTGTGAGATGTAGAAAGTAAGGGTGGTGAGCTGACTCAAAGTCAATGGTGACTTTCTAGCAGGGTGGCCTATGTATTGGTCAGATTTCTCTTATCGACAGCAGAAACGACTGTGGTTATATATTGGAATAAGTATTTAGCTGGGAAAGCTAAAAAAATCAAATAAAATAAAAAAGGAAAAGCACAGAATTTTCTTTGTGCTAACGGTAGCCCTGGAACTTTAAGAAATGGTAACTTCAGGATTCATCTTATTGCAAGAACAAGATGAAGAGGTGAATCCCAACTGTTCGGGCCTCTTTAAATTTCTAATCAAGACTCAAATTCCAAGGAACAAACCTCTAATTGACATAGTTAGGGTGATGCACCCTTCTCTTAACTGAGGACCCCACTTAGGATTCCACCAGAGGGAAATAATACCTTTGTAAAGGAAATAGGACTGATGTTAGAAGAAGAATGAACATTGAACAGTCAAAAACAATAACTCGGCATCCTCAAAGATTCCTGCTCCAGCTCTTTCTAGGGTTGCATGAGAGGTCCTGCAAATTCCTTTTTCTATTTAAGCTGGTTTGCATTGGTTTGTATTACTTTTCAATCAAAAGATTCTTAACTAAGATATCATTCATCCATTTCTATAAGAAATGAACTTCAGCTTTGACCCACACTTGAAACAGACGTTATCTGTCTATGAGGTAGCCCATAGGAAATTAATGACCTGCGAGATCAGAATTAGTGTGCACCAAATGAGCTGTGTGTGTTGGTCTCAGATCAGTGTCCCCAGTCGCTTCATTTCCATTACCAAGAATCTCAATGCTCAGCCATGCCCTCTTCTCCAGCTCCCAAGCAGATAATAGAGCAGTGTTTAAATACAAGGGGTCTGAGGATGGAAATGCTCTCACAGAATGCCAGACAATCCATTGGAGCCATGGTAACCGGGCAGGCACGTGCACTGTTACCTTGAATCCTAGAGGAGAGAAATGTGCTTATTGAAGCCCGTGGCTCCCAGGCTAGTCCAAGACAAACAATGTCTGGCAAGGATATTCTACATTTTTCTTGGATTAAAAAAATAGGGGGGTGGAGAATTTCTCTATTTGAGTGAGTGAATGGGCAATGCAGCCCTCTGGACCCCAGAAATCAGGGAGGATATCTATAATGGCTTTAGATTCCTCTTCCTCAGATGCAGTCCTGCCTGAGGGACTGATATTATTATAACAATAGCAATAAGAGTAATAATAACAGTTCAGTGCTTTAGGTAGTTGCTGTGTGTCTAGCACTGCAGTGTCCAAGATTCATATTTTCTCTTAATGGTCATCTGTGTTATTAAGAGAGACAAAAGTCATATGACATGATAAACACATGCCTCAGAAGGCCTCCAAAGCACTTCGGTTTGGACACTTCGCATTTTCTGTGTGTTTTGAGGTTTTCCAGCTCAAACTGTCTTTACCAGCCTCCTGTGGTGTGGACATTGGAAGCCGGGATGGGGAGATAGCACTCAGAAGGGAAATAGGATGCCTCTGCCCTAGAGGAGCTCACAGCACAATGGAAAAGACAAAATAACCAGAGCGACATGTGGGTTCCCACATTCTCTAGCCCCGTGGAAATTAGATACAAATGAGGGTAAGTTTCCTTCTATGGTGGGAAAGGGTAGGAAAGAAAAGAACGTGAAGCTCATCTCTAGGTGTTAAAAAAAGAGCCTACACGGTGAGTGAGATTGTTCTCAGCTCCCACCACACTTCTTAAAGATTCCAGATATTCAATTCACCTGGATATTTTTTTTAAAGATGAATATGGCTTCCCTTGGTTACAGGCACACACGGACACATAGTGCCATTAAGGCAATACATTTTTCAAAGTATCTAAATGCATAGAAAATATTTTATGGGAGTCCTCTCTCATGCTCACCAATCTCAGGTCCTGGGAAAAGACATTGGACCTGGTAGGTGCTCAATAAATGCTTGTTGAATTTTTTCAGAGAACATCAGATCTGCAAGTCAGACTCAACTTTCTTGATGATTTTAAAAAACAAAATCCTACAATTGTGTTTTGCTGTGAAAGGAATAGACTGGCATGTTTAAAATGAAGTGCAAATCATTCTAAGTTTGGACCGTGTGAAAGACTCTGAGATAACTTCCTTTTTGGGAAAAGGGAGAAGTGGAAGATATATATATAGAGAGAGACTGAGGCAATTAATAATGGAATTATGTGAAGTGAGGTCAAATTTAAAATACTGCAGGAGGTCTCCCCTGGTCTTCTCTGGGACATAGGCTTCCAAGAGAAAGACCCTACACTTCTTAGGCATTCCAGCTTATTGACCTTAGCTCTGACCACTCTTCCTGCTGTCCATGTAGCCACGTAGGCCTTCCTGATGCACCTCACACAGGATTAGCATTTCTCCACCTGGATTTGCTACCATTAACATGCATGATGGGCTGGCACTAAGGATCTCCCTGCTGCTCATTACTGGCTGAGTGTTCTTATAAAATAGCATGCCTTAGTTGGAAGCTCAGTCTCCTTATCAGAAAAATAGGTATGATACGTCCTGGCACAGACTGTAAAGGGGATTCACTGAGATGCTAAGAATTCTGGAGAATTTCAACAGCAAAGGAGAAGAGTGATTTGAGAGGAGATGGGGAGAGTGCCTGGGTCTGTAGCTAAAACTCTTCCCCTGGACACAGGAGCTTAAACCCCGCCAGGGTCTTGAAGTTGAACAGGGAGTATAATCTGTGAAGTTGCACATTTTCCCTGAGGTATAGAGTCTCAGCTCTCCTTAAGTTCCCAGAAAGGTCTATTATTTAGAATGTTGAAGGATCATTGGTCGCAGGTCAGGGGAGGCACGTTCAGAAAGAACCACTTATTCAGTGGGATCAGAACACCGGAAGCAACCTTCAAGCTGGAAAGAAGACCAGAGGACGATCAAATCACGCAGCCTCTATTTTCATATGGCTTGAAAGCCAAGCAGCACATCAGGAGACAACCAGCCTCACGCTGTATCCATAGATCAACAAACCTCTGTTGCATAGCAAACAATCCGAGATTTGCATTTATTTAACATATGATTCTGTCAGCCAGTTGGACCCCTGGACTAAGGTGGATGATTCTTCTGGTCTTCGCTGTGCTCGCTCATGAACCTGAAGTGGGCTGCTCAGTTGTCTGAGGGCCCGGTGATCTGTGATGGCATCCACCGGGGCAGTAGTACTTCATTGGCTCACACGGCAGCTGGGCGGGTACAAGAGAGCCAGTGTGATCCTCTTGGGGTCTCTGCTGGGAACTGAAAACCCGTCACTTCTGCTGCACTGTCACAAGACTATCCTGTATTCAGAGAGGAAAGGAACAGGTTCTACTTCTACATGGAAAGAACCATAAAGTGAGAGGATGGGGCCGTTGTTGCAATCAATCACGACTCCCAACTCCATGCCTAATCCAACAAGCAATTTTGGAGACTTTTAAGAAGAATCCTAATTTTCTACTTGATCTTTGCACAAACAAGAAAACCTCGGGTAGATACAATGTATGATATCGGGGCCCAAAGAGGAAAGTGACTTACCTGGGGTCACAGAGGAAATAAACAGCACAGCTGCCGTACCTTATTTGGTTACAGAGTAGTACAGTAGTACGGGGGCACGTATTAAGTGGTTGTTTTATGAAGTATTTGGGATAAAGGACCAGTTTCATTTTTTTAATTGTTCGTCTGCTAGTTTTATTCTTGATCCATCGCAGTCCACTTGCATGTAGCTCATGCCAGGTGGGAATCATCATGTGAATTTGACAACACCTTGATTGCCCTATAACCTATTGAATAAAGTGAGCTGGCCCTCTGATTGCACATTTGGATGTCACTGCAATATCAAATTGCTATAAAAGTTTCTAAATGCTTACTCGTACTTTCTGTAACGATCTCACTGCAGACTGGTAACGAACAGTTGAGAGTGGTATCACACCTTGAGCAGAGTAGCTCTTCTTCCATTGTCTCATTCTTCAGCACACCCCCAGGAAAATTGGGGCTTAGCTTCCTGTCTGAATCAGATAAGGAAACTGAGGCCTGGAAAAATAAAGGGCTTATACAAGATCACAAAGGGCTAGGCCAGGAGCAGGACCCAGAGCTCTGGACACCCTGTCCAGCGCACTGTCATCCTGCACCCGATGGCTCTGCTTCTCCTCAATTGCAATTAAAAAGAAACAAGCAAACGTGCTTCTAGAAATCAGCTTTCTCTTCACATCCTCAGCCCAAAGCTCAGCCTGAGTTACTGAGGAAGATGAAAGTTTACCTTTTACGTTGGGGATTTATGCATTATTTACATAATCAGATTTCTGCACCCCCTGTGCTCAGAGAAACTAATTCGAAAATGTAGTTACACGATATTTCACGTTTAGCATTTAATGGGCTCTTCATCACTCCCCTAGGAGCGCGCAGGTCCTAGGGAGTGATGAGGAGGTTTCTCCCAGGTGCTTTGCAAAGCAAAGTTGCCAATGCAGCACAACTGCAGGCCCACTTAAGTGCAACCTGTGGCAGAGTTCTCCTTGGCGGATACCTGCAAAGTCAGAGAGCAGAGAGCGGTAAAAGCAGGAAAGAGCAGGCCCAGACATTGGAGATGTCTCACCTCCCCTTCTCCTGCCCTGGGGTGTCCAAGAGAAGGGATAACGGGCTTTCGCCAGCTGCACCTGCGCTTCACCCTGCTAGGGGAATGGTGCCTACTCCCATTCCCTGGTTTAATCCAGGTGATGACTCTGAGGCTCCAGTTCTGCCCATCAGTAGTTCTGGGCCCTGGACACTGCACGACTCTGGTCTTTGGCATAATTTTCCTCTGGGGCCTGGTCTCCCTGGTGCTCGGAACTAAAAGAGCTCCTTTCACTTTGACATTGCAAACCTGATGCTTTTCAAACAGGCCCCTTAGAAGCAAGATGGGGGCCTCTAGGGAGCCCTGGGATGCCATGCCTCAATTGAACAAGGTTCAGGGTCACAATTAGACAGGAAGGCTTTGAAGAAATGAACAGGACCTCTTGAATCTGAGAAGCGCCGTGAACCCTGGGAACCCTAGAATTCCAGGGCTGGAGGGGAGGAATCCTCCTTAACCATCATTATATCCAAGGTTGGCCAAATAGGTTTTGTATCCGCAGATGAAATTTCTTTTAAATCAAAGTTTCAATTGTTATAATATATATATATATGCAAAAAAAACTGAGCTATTCCAAGTCCTCATTTCTGGATAGGAAAACTGGGTTCTAGATGAGGAGACTAGGGTCCAGAGAGATTGGCATGCCCAAGCTCGCCCAGCTGACAGAGGACAGCCCTGGGACCTGGCGGTTTTCCCCTCTGGCCCGGGGATCTGTCTGCCAATTCTTCTAACACTCCACTTCCTCTCTAGTTCCAGTCTGACCTCAGGTAAGAAAGTGGATCTGCTTAAAGCAGCAGAGGCCCTCTACACTTTGGGGACTCCTCATGGCTGCCCTGAGGTCCTACACAGTCCCTCTGTCTGGAAGGCTCCTCCTGCACATGTTAATGAGGCTGGCTCCCTCCGGGCACCAAGAGACCTTGATCTATATCATCTCCGAGGTCCCCCTGCCTTCCCTTGATGCAGCGGATTTTCTTATATCCTTACACAGGCCCAGCACCTCCTTCCACATTTCCTATCCTTTCCAAGCCTTACCGTACCTGAACTTGTCTTGTTGATTTAGTTATTAAATGCATTAACATCTGTCTTTCCCAAAAGAATATAAAGTCATGAGATCAGAGACCAAAGCCTGTCTCATCTACCATTTTTACTCCTGGATCCTAGCACCCTGCCTGTCACATAGTTGGCACTGAATAAATCTTTGAATGAATGAGTGTTTACTTGACTTTGGATACTAGACGCAAGACCTTCGAAGTAACAGCCACGTGTTCCAGTGCTCAGCAGTGTTTGTCACCACAAATTGGCCCTGATGACACTCATCACACAAATTTGTGGAGGAATCTACATGAATCCCTCATCTACAAGATGCTCACAGCTTTGCTGCTCTGGCAATAGCTCTGCTAAACATGAGGGCCATAGAAAAAGCATCCAGACTCTCTTGGCCTTGGTTTCCCGGGTAACCAAGGTTGTGTGCTTAGATACACATGACCCAGCAAGACTCTCCCAGGGGACATGGGTATTGAAGACTCATGTACCAACTGCATGTTTTTTTTACTCTCCAAAGTAGTCATGACAATGATAATCAGCCAGTGGCTTAATCTCTGGACCAGACCGGAAGTGTCAGTGGACAAGGTGCCCAACCCCCCATACTAAATGTTTACGTTCAAGCTCAGGGAACATTTGGGCTCCGATACACAGAAGATTTCATTGTATATTAATTGATATTTTATTGTATGATTACTGTTGAGATCATACTAAAATTGAATGGTTCATTCTCTCTGTACATAGAACCAAGTCATAACTAATATGCAAATCTAAAAACATTTTTTTTCAGGTTAATTCATCAAGAAGATGTAACAATTGTAAATATTTATGCACCTAACATTGGAGTACCCAAATATATAAAGCAAATATAATACTGAAAAGAGAAGTAGGCAGAAATACAATAATAGCAAGGGCTGTTAATACTTCACCCTCAAGAATGATAGATCGTTTAGACAGAAATCAATAGGGAAATAGCAGATTTGGACAACACTATAGACCAAAAGATCTAACAGACATATTCAGAGTATTCTATGCAGCAGAAGCAGAATGCGGCTTCTTTTTAAGTACACACATGACGTCTTTCAGAATAGACCATGTTAGGCCACAATACAAGTCTTGGCCAATTTAAGATTGACATCAAGTATCTTTCTTGACAATAGTACTATGAAGCCAGGGATCAATAACAGAAGGAAAGCTGGAAAATTTACAAATACAGGAGACTTAAACAACCCATCTGAAAATCAATGGGACAAAGAAGAAATCGAAAGGGAGATTTAAAAAACACTTTGAAACAAACAAAAATGGAAACATCACACTAAAAGTTATGGGGTGTGGTAAAACTTCTATGAGGAGTTCAAAGTCACCAACACTCACTTTAAGAAAAAGGAATATCTTAAACAGCCTAACACTTGAAAAAAAGTATAAAAAGAAACACTAAGCCCAGAGGAAGCAGGAAGAAGGGAACTTTAAAGATTAGAGAATGAGTGTACCTTTCCCCCCACATCCTCACCAACATTTATTGTTGCTTGTATTCTTGTTTATTGCCCTTCTGACTGGATTGAGATGAAATCTTAGAGTAATTTTGATATGCATCTCTCTAATTACTAAAGATGTTGAACATTGTATTTCTTCTTCTGTGAAGTGTCTGTTCAGTTCCTTAGCTCGTTAAAGTAGTGTAGAGATTTCTCAGAAAACTTGGAATGGAACCACCATTTGACCCAGCTGTTCCACTCCTCGGTTTATACTCAAAGGACTTATGAAGCATGTTACCGTGACACAGCTACATCAATGTTTATAGCAGTTCAACTCTCAATAGTTAAAACTATGGAACCAACCTAGGTGCCCTTCAACAGATGAATAGGTAAAGAAACTGTGGTTTATATAGACAATAGAACATTACTCAGCTAAAGAAGAATGAAATTATGGCATTTGCCAGTAAATGGATGGAGCTAGAGAATGTCATGTTAAGCGAAATAAGCCAATCCCAAAAATCCAAAGGCCAAATGTTTTCTCTGATATCTGGATACTAATCAACAATAAGGAGAGGGAGGCTAGGGAAGAATGGAGTTACTTTACATTAGGTAGAGGGGAGTGAAGGGAGGGGAGGGGAGGGAGACGTTGGGCAGGAAGGATAGTAGAATGAATCAGACATTATTACCCTATGTACATATATGAGTTCATGACCAGTGGGATTCTATGTCATGCACAACCAGAAGAATAAGAAATTATACTCTATCTATGTATGATATATCACAGTGTATTCTACTATCATGTATATCTAATTATAATAAATAAAAAGATTAGTCAATGAATGAAATAGACTAATCAAGACGAAGACTCAAAATTATAAATAAAGGGGACATTACAACTTCATACCACAGAAATACAAATGATAAGGGACTACAGTGAACAACTCTATGCTAATGGATTGGATCACCTATGAGAAATGGATAAACTCCTAGACACACACAACATACAAGACTGAATTATGAGGACACACTCCTCTGAGCTGACCAATAATGAGCAAAGAAATTGAACCTGGAATCAAAACCCCCCACCAAAGGAAAGTCCAGGAACAGATAGCTTTGTTGGTGAATTCTACCGAACATAAAGAATTAATACCAATGCATCTTAAACTTCCAAGAAAATGAAGAAAAGGGAATAGTTCCAAACTCATTTTATAAACCTGGCATTATCTCATTACTAAAACAATACTATAAGAAAAGAAAATTGGAAGCTAATATGTCTGATGAATGTAAACGCATAAATCCTCAGCAAAATAGTAGCAAACTAAATTAAATAGCACTTAAGATCACCATGATCGAGCGGGATTTATCCTTGGGATGCAAAATGGCTCAACATATGTGTATCAATAAATGTTAAATATTGACAGACAAAAGCATAACAATCATATCATTATCTCAGGAGATTCAGAAAATGCATTTGATAAAACTCAACATCCCTCATGATGAAAAGCTCTGAACAAACAGGGTGCAGAAGAAATGTACCTCAATATAATAAAGGTCACCTATGACAGGCCCACAGCATCTTACGCAATGGTGAAAAGCTGAAAGCTTTTTCCCTAAGATCAGGAACAAGACAAGGAGGCCCACTCTCTCCAGTTCCACTTAACTTAATACTAGAAGTCCTAGTGAGAGCAAGAAAGCAAGAAAAAGAAATAAAATGCATCCAAATTGGAAAAGTGAAACTATGTTTGCAGATGACATGGTTTTATACACAGAAAACCCTAGAGACTCCAAAGAAGCTGTTAGAACTAATAAATTCAGCAAGTTTGCAGGATACAAAAATCAGCTTCATTTCTACACACCAACAATGAGCACTCTAAAACACAAATAAAGAAAAAACAACCCCTTTTACGATAACATCCAAAACAATAAAATATTAGGAAATAATATTTAACCAAGGAAGAGAGAGATCTGTACCCTGAAGGCACAAAATAAATGAAACAATATCCTGCGTTCATGGGCTAGAAGATTAATGCTCTTTTAGAGTCCATCCTACACCAAAAGTGATATGTAGCTTCAGTGGAATCCCTATCAAAATTCCAATAGCATTTTTCACAAACTGGAAAAAAAAATTTATAAAATTTAAAATAGAACCATTAAGGGCCCTAGAGAGCCAGATCAATCTTGAGCAAGAAAAAAAAAAGAGAGAGAGAGAGAGAGCTGGAAATATCATTCTTCGTGATTTCTGAATATGTTACCAAGCTATGGTCATCAAAGCAGGATGACATCGGCATAAAAACAGACACATGAGCCAACAGAACAGAACTGGTACTGCAGAAATAAATAAACCCAGACAAGGGATGTTTGAGAAGGGCACCAAGATACACAAGGGAAGGAAGTGTGGTCTCTTTAATAAATGGTTCTGGCATTTTAATGCAGAGCATGGTGACTATGAAGAAACTTGTTAAGAAAAATAGATCCTAAATATTCTCATCCAAAAAAAAAAAAACATAGCAGTGTGAGATGCTGAATAGGTTAGCTGGTTTGTGGTAAGCATTTACAGTGTACACATACGCCAAAGCATCACATTGTGCATGGTTTGGGCTCCCTTCTTGCTTGAGAGGAAGAGAAGACCATGAACACAATTCCCTTTATTCCATTCTATCAGCTTAATCACTTGGGCTGCTCAGTCTCAATTCTAGACATTACAGACTTTTATGTGGAAAAGAATTGCATGCTGGTAAATTCAAAGAAGGAATAACAGATATGATTGTCCCGCATCAGAGATTTTCTTAATTAGTCGTTTCCATTTAAAACGCAGGATTTTCTCACAGAACTTCAGATTTCCAACTTCTCATTGAAAAAAAAATAAATCTAAAAGGAAGATGTGATTCAGCAGGCCTATGTCACTGCTTGATTTTCCCTGAAAATCAACCCTGAAACAAAAACGTGGGTGGAAGTAACTCATGTGGAAGTTGATCTCAGAAATCAGAAGAAGCCAGAATATGAACCAGGCAAGAAGAAAAGCTGGTATCAGAGTCATTCTAGAAGAAGCAACAGAGACTTGCTTGCACTAGGATTTCTGGCATACAAACATGAGACTTTCTGGAATGAGTGGCTTGAAGGACAAGAGGTTAAAACATTTATATATTTGAGTCCATCTCCCCTGAACATGAAGTTTCTCAATCTTTTGCATGCTTTTACAGTCTTGGGTAGATTTTCATGTAGGCTGTTCAGACTCCCATGACTGGAGAACAATCTGTAGCTGAAAAGAGAAAGATGTAGAGCCCAAGTTTAAAGTGAGATGTGGTCAGTGGTAAGTGAGCCGGAATTGGCCACCACAGTTGCAGCTCAAATCAAAAGCAGAACATGGAGATGTGACATCATACTAATCGTCAGCTACGGTTCACCCCTCTGGGCCTGTCAGATGCACTAGCTAAGAACTATTAGTTCCTCCTATAGTGATATTTCTTCTGATATACTATCTTGATTGGAGGATGGAATGTTTGATAGGTTTGCACTTGGATGTTTTATAGTTTTTCACTTTCCTTCTTATAGGCTCTTATTCTATAAATCAGAGACTGATGCAAGAGTTATACCAATAGCTGGGTGGATACATCCACCTGCTGCGGGGGGTTGACAAACAATTTGTGTACATTGATACAGCAGGAGAGGGAGCCCTTTATTGTAGGACAACAGAGCTATTTATACATTTTGCACAGCTTATCTTAATTAACATAAACTAGATACATCAGTCAACCAATAA